AAAGAGGGCAGGCAGGCTCTTGTGGGGTGGGTCGCCTGAGGGCGCCAGGGAGACAAGCAGACGAGGGAGGAGGGTAACGAAGAGGAGTGCGGGTGCCTGCTCCACGTGCTCGTCCTTGCGCCCCTTCTCCCCGCCCCGGGCTTCCCCGGGCGATCCCTAGGCTGGGGTCCCCGCGACCAGGGCTGGAGGGAGAGAAAAGCGGCGATGACTTCCCCGCAGGCCTTCTTGGCCCTACCTGCCCGCCTCCTACGTTCCAATGCCCTCACGCCGAGCCCCCTGACCCCTGACCCCTGCCCTCTCCATCAGGCCAACCCTCATACCCCTTGAATTCTTACATGCGCCGCCCCAGCAACCCGAACCGCGCGCCGGGGTCCGCACCGCGCAGCCCAGCCCTCCGGCGCCGCCGCCAAAGCCACGAGCCCGGAACTGTTGCAGCTGCAGCGGCCGCCGCAGCCACCGCCACTTCAGCCGCTGCCACCACAGCAGCTGCGCCAGCTCTCCCATCCACCGCCTACTGTCCCTTCCACCCCACCGGCCCCGCCCATTTTCCCTTCACCGCTGCCTATTGGCTACCTCGGCTGTTATTATGAGCTCTGATTGGTCAAGCCTTACGTCCTTCCCCAGTTTTTGCCTGCTGCTAATGCAGGACTCCCTGCCTCCCTCCTTGAGAAGGGGCGGGACGAAGAAGCTCCGCCCCTTTCCCTTCCGTTTCTCCCCGCCTTACTCGGTCAGCCCAACCCAGAGGGAGGCCCGAGTCTTCCAATTGGTGGAGGGTTATAGAGACGGTGCTCCTGACTGGTCATCCCTCAGGAGGTGGAACGAACTGAGCGGAATAAGGAATTTAATGGTGAAAAAGAAAGTCAATCAGACGCTGAGTCCCGCCTTCTGAGATTGGCCGATAACCTAGCAACGCAGGCACCTCGGTGGTTACCACGGATAGAAAAACCTGAAGCCCTCGGAGCAGGTGAATGACTTTGTGGGGAAGGGCTGGGAATGATGAAGAGATGTTGAATGGGGTCTAGCCCTCTATCCTTTGGCTCTCTGAGGAATCAGTAGCCCCCCACCGTGAGCCCGTCCCCGACTCAGGATCCTGCTCTCCAGCCCCTGCCTCAGTTTGGACCTCCCTCTCGACCCCCTGCAAGGACTACTGGGCATCCTCTACTCTGCCCCTCCACTCGTCCACTTCCTCATCCGTAAAACGTGGATGATACTAGTCAAGTGGAGTCGCATCAAAGTTAACTACTTTCAAGTCAAACACAGGTGCTGGGAGTGAGAGTGTAGTTTATAAGTCCGCTACCATTCCACCCAAAGGCCTATATATACATCCCAGGGTGAGCGTCCAATGAAAGTGAGTGTTTAAATCAGGTAATTTTGATTATACCAATTTTGGCCTTTTGTGCTAACTTTAGAACTTAACTCCCGTCCCCGTCCTTTAAATATGATTTCATTTACATACTTAAGACAAAGGGTTTGTTGTGAGGGTTAACTAAGGCAGAAAGTAGAATAGTGGTTGCCAGGGGCTGGGGGGAGGGGAAAACGAGGAGTTATTATTTAATAGGTACAGAGTTTCAATCTGAGATGATGAAAAAGTTCTGGACGTGGATGGTGGTGACGGTTGCACATAGATGTGAATGTAACAATTTAATGCCACTGAATTTAAAATGGTTACAATGGTAAACTTTGTTAGGTATATTTTACCACAATAATAATTTTTAAAAGCAACTATAAAGCTGGACAAAACCATCTAGTGCTATGTTGGCACACTGAAAATCAACCGAAGTCATACAACAGACTGAGAGTTTTTATTCATAAAACCACCAAACTTCAAGCTTGTGCTATACTTACCTGAGACTTCTCTGATTTCCCCACCCCCAGTTCTATGGGCATAATAGTTCACCCAGGGTGGGTAGCCCCCTGAATACCAACAGCTTCACTGTTACTGTCTGATGGAGCTCACTTGGTTTGAAGGAGCATTGGCTAAAGTGGCAATCTTGGTGGGAAGAGAACAGGGGAGGCGGCAGCTCTAGCAGTCCAAGGTTGTAATCCTATTTGGCACAAACAATGGACTGAAAGCTTGGAGTTCCTGGGGAGTGAGGCAGCCATAGGGGGCCTGATGAGCTCTGTGTATATCTTGGTTGACTAGAGGTTATGCGCATGTGTAGCAGAGACCAGAGCAGGCCCAAGCCCCTTAATCCCTGGCCGTTGGAGCCTGTGTAGACGTGCTGAGTGCGTGCTGCACTTTCCATGGCAGAACAGAAGCCTTACTGGCTCAAAGTTTGAGCACAACCTCGGACTGACTTTTGGCTGAATATTAAACTATGTGGATACAGAGGCGACCCCTAGGAAGCCAGGTTTAAAAATAAAAATATGAAAAAAAATTAAGCAGAGACATCAGTAGCTGCACATTGTGGAGGAGACCGACTTGACAGATTTAGTCCAGGAAGTAAATTACCAAACACCCAAGCAAAACAAGAACAACAATCATTAGGAAGGAAAAAATACCGAGTTGCTACAAAAAAAAAAATCTTCCCTCTAAAATTTCCAGTGTTCAATAAAAATTGTGAGACGTGTGTAAACGTACTCAGGAAAAAAAAGCAGTCAACAGAAAGTGTCTCTATGTGTCCCTAGATGTTGGCTTTAGCAGACGAAGGCTTCAAAGAAGCTATTATAAATATGTTCAAAGAACTAAAGGAAGCCATGTTTAAATAATTTTTAAAATGTAGGATAACAATGACCCATCAAATAGAAAATATTTAGTATTCCAGAATAGACTGTGATAAATTAAGATGCACATTATAATCCCTAAGTCAGCCACTAAGAAAACAACTCAAAAAAAATTTTTTAAATCAACAGAAGAATCAAAAGAGTAGACTAAAAATATTTATTTAACACAATAAAAGGCATTAACGAAATAACATAGGAACAAAACATGAGATGAGACGAATAAAAAAACATAGGAAAATGGCAGATGTAAATCCAACTATCTGAATAATTTAATGTAAATTATTAAATGTAAGTGGAAAAAACACTTCAATCAAAAGGCAGAGCTTGCCAGACTAGATTTAAAAAGTGAGACTGAACTATATGCTGCCTACAAGAGACTCACCTTAGATTCAAAAACACAAAGGAGTTGAAAGTAAAAAATTGGAATCCATGCAAAGAGTAAGCATGAGAGAGCTGGAGAGGCTATATTGCTATCAGAAAAAATTGATTATAAGACAAAAGATATTACTAGAACAAAGAGGGACCTTTTATATTGATAGGAAGGTCAGTACATCCGGAAGATATAGCTAGACTGACCAAGAAAGTAAAAGACACAAATTACCAAAATCAGAACTGCAGAGACTTAAAGAATTATAAGGAATATTATGAACAACTTCATGCCAAAAAAAGACAACTTAGATAAAATGAATGAATTCCTAGAAATACAAATTATTAAAATTGACCCAAGAATAAAGAGAAAATTTGAATAGACCTATAACAAGTAAACAGATTGAATTAGAAATAAATAGTCTTCAGGAGTTCCCTGGCAGTCCAGTGGTTAAGACTCAGCACTTTCACTGCCATGGGCCTGGGTTCAATTCCTGGTCTGGGAGCTAAGATCCCACAAGCTGTGCGGCGTGGCCAAAAAAACCCAAATCTTCCCTCAAAGTAAAGCCCAGTGCTAGGTGTCTTCACTGGCGAATTCCAAATAGTTAAAGAAGAAAATAGTGGGAAAGTCCAGAGTGAGAAGGGGCAAGTTCTAAGGTCACTGTTCATGCCTTTTCTGAATATTATAAAGTTGTCAGTAGAAAGCAAAAACCTATCCCACAGTTCCCCTTCCCAGACTTCACCCTCTACCAAGCCTTTTGATTGAAAGAAACAGTAACAGAGGCTGCAGAGTGAGTATCAATATCCTTGCCTCCAGGCTGGATAGGCTGCCCCAGGCATCCCAGCCAGACCTCTGCCCTGGCTCAGGGAGAGGCATCCCTTGGGAACACACTCCAGGCATGGTTAGATATAAATGCCAGAGCTTTAGCTTGGGATTTTCACTTGATTTACAGTAAAAAAAAAAAAAAAAAAAAAAGGGAA